CCCCTTCGATCGGGCGTCAGCCTCCCGTACCTCCCATATCAACATGACCTTTTCCCTACAACGAGGAAAGGACGCGTGTCTGCGAGTGGGACGTATGAGAAGTTGTCGAGCAGATCGGCGGTCGATACTACTTCCCTCCGGCAAGCCGTTGTTCAGGGTTCGTAGAGGCTGGGTTTGTCATTATCGATACGCACTTTCCACCTTACTCGATATTGTTGCCATTCAACAAGTTGATTGTCATCCCGTGGACGGCAGTAGAACCCCACTGGCCGCGCACTCTATGCACCGAATGCCAGCGCTTTGAGCGCTACGAATCCAGGGGTTTCCACTACCGTGTGCGGAGTGAGGACGAACATAGAGAAAGAGCCACGCGATTAAGACCCTCCACGTCGGACTCAGAACTGGTCAGTGAACGACGACGGGACTTAATACGAAAGCGAGACACGTGAAGCGTGCCGAAGCCCTTCTGTTCTAAACGACGGGCCGTAGCCAGGTGGGAAGTCCGACAATATTTTCTGGATTGAATTCGTATCTCTCTCTCCTCTCGCGCGAAACTTCCGCGCGTATTCTGCGTCGCTCGAAAAACGATCGACTTAATTCATCGGACCAACACGGGGGATTTCAGTTTCGTCTGTGTCCCCACACTCAATTTCCAAAAATCCTTGGCACACCCCATCTTGCTGTTTTTTTGGGCCTCTTTCTGCACATCAAGCACTCCGAACGAAAGACAGCACAGGGCGTGAGGTTGGTATCGGAGCCGACACGTGTCGGTTCTGATGATAATGAGTCGAACTAGCGAGAGGTAGGAGAAGCCCTCAACCAGCTCGTCGAGATCACCCAGTAACCAAGTCTCGATCTGGTGCGGTTGCACCCGCAATGCCAATGGCGGACGGTACTAGAGTGATCGTTAGCATTCCTACCCCTTTTCCCTTCTTCCCTAACCATACCCATCCCGAGGCTTGGTTGGAAGCCGTCGAAGCTCAAGGCTACAGCGCGGGTGATCTTCCACGCGTTCTTACCTTGCTACTTCGCATTACGTCGCATGATTGGTTAAGAAAGCATACGTGGGTAGATCGGAATACCTTCAACCAAGCTTTCTTGGCTCGATTTGATATGGTCTGTGAAGATGGCACCTGGTACGTGCTCAAAACTCGGCCACAAGGACCAGGGGAATTGCTGCCCGATTTCGTGGATCGATTTCAAACCACGCTGGACAAATCTGGGCGAGACGAGAAATCCGCTCGAGACTTGTTCATCGATCACCTACGAAGTCCAACGTTGAAAGGGAAGCTACAGAAAAAGGTCCCGCCAAAGACATACCAGCTAACCGCTATCATCGCTAAAGCGTTGGAATTAGACCTAGTTGATACAAAAAAAATATATCAGTCAGGGAGATAAAGATATTACGGACACCATACGGGATGTAGCGGCTAAATGGCGATCGTGGCTGCTGGTGGTAGAACGTTTTTATCCCCACCCCGACCATGACCTTCCCAACAAGATCGCTTCCGATGTCCCACCTGTTTCTTTTTCCTCTCCCCCGGTGAATCAACCGATAGCGGCAGTTAAGAGCGGAATCTCCCACGAACTCCCCTCGTCGACCGTAACCAATTTACATCTTGCCCAAATGATCCATACGACCACTACCAAGCTGTCTAAATGGATGGGCAACATGATCCAAATGCAGCCCGCTCACATAAAGCGGATGAAACAGATAATGAGCAGTCTAATTAAGCCTAACCCGGCCCCTGCCCGACCTGCCCCCGCGTCATTTCCACTTTTACCTGCCCCGCCTGCACCAGGATACGCACCTCAGTTCCCTCACCCAACTAATCCAACAGGAAAGATCGAGTGTTTTAACCGCAAACAGCCCGGACATTTCATCCGAGACTGTCCGCAGTCGAAGCGTAATCATCCCCCACCTGCTGCGGCCCCTATGGCCCTGAATCAAGGACGGGTGGCCGCATTGATGGATACGGCCCAAGGAGGGGAGTTCATGGCATATGCCCTAGAACAACTTTCCCCCTCGATAGCAAAGGCGTCGACATCATGAGCTTCTTCCTCTGACGCTGCTGACGTGGTCGATCCACTCTAGTATCTTCATCTCGCAGGCATGATCAGAGCGATCCGATCGGCCCCTGATGATCTCGAATGGGTCGATCGTGAATCCAATCCTGGTCCGTATTTTCGGACGGGAGAAATTGATGTATTGGGAACGCTCAAGCAACTAGATATTCGCGTTCCTATCCCTGTAGGACATTTGCTCACTATATCCGAAGCTGCGAATGATAAACTCTTGCAACATTGCCAGAAAAATCAAAAGCGCTTCACGTACCAGCGTATACAGCGAATGTTAAAAAAGAAGGAAGGAGGCGAGGAAGTTGCACCGCCCGAACCCGAAGCAGGCGAGCCCGAAGCCGCACGTATAGCAGCGATCTCTTTAGCAGAGAAGGATCACTTCGTACGAGCTCGGCCGGTGCTGTGGAAGAGCGAGGAATGTGATTGTGAAGTTTGGGGCAAGCCGTTTAACGCCCTTATCGACACAGGGTCTTCTGCAGTGGCCATATCATTAGACACTGTCAGAAAGACGGGACGGCTCGGATCCATTCTTCCTCAATCTCGCAAAGACAATTATGTCTCTGCCAACGAGGAAGCAATGAACATCGTAGGCATTATTGAGAATGTTGCTGTAAAGGTTGGACGAGTACACGTCCTCGTTAACGCGCTCGTGATAGATATGCGTTCCTATTCTGTACTATTAAGATTGCCTCGGACGATGGCAGTGGGCGCACGTTTGCATTTTGATTCCAAGCAACTAGTGTCCACGCAAACTGGGGGAAAGCCTCAAACTGTTCCCTTGCAAATTTCCACCCGAACAATAAAACGAACTCCTAACTCGGCCCAAATAGGGATGATTCGATGCATTGATCCTGAGGAGTGTTTTTCCTCGGACATCGGCAGCGGAATCGGGGAACAGGAATACGAAGAAGAGCTGCCTAGTGAAGATGAATGGAAGCACCAGGTCGAACTTTTCGGACACGAAATTCCTGAAGAATTTCAAGTGTGCCCCGACACTGCCCGAAGCTTCCACGTGGATTGAGGAGACACCGCGCTTGCGCCTCCGATAACCCAAGTCAGTCCTTCAGTCCTTCTCGGGGAACCCATATTACAAGTATATGACCTGACCGATGATTTGGAACCCCCTCGCACCTTGTACGTAGGAGCTCTCTCCTTACGAACGCGTTATCAGCAAACGGAGCAGTATTTGGATATTTATGTTTTTCCGCCCAGATCGTTACTAACGACAGGAGCAACCATCGCTTTGATTAAACAGGAAGCGGAAGCACCGGTAGGTGATGTACCTGATCTGATGCAAGAAATGACGTATCTAACGGGGCTAACTGTGAAATCGACTTCGGTTGGTTCAGAGACTGATGCTGAAGCTAAAGAAACCGAAATGATCAGCCCCGCTGAATCTCAGATGATAGCAACTGTCTTTTCTATTTGCACCAGTAGTTCCGTTTTTTTCAGTGTCCGTAATCGGCGGGAACGGCCAGTTGATTGGGTCGACATGCCCCTCAAGATTCCCGGGGAATCAACAATCACCTTACCGAGCCACGTCCCCGCGGAACTTCGAAAATCGTTAATTTGTGTTTTAAATGGTTACGGAGAAGTATTGAGCATACACGATAATGATATCGGCTTAACTAATGTGATCGAGTATGCCATCCTCACGGGAGATCATCCGCCTATTAGCTGTGCTCCTTACCGATACTCGCCAACTCAACGAGCGACCGCTTTTCAGCGGATGAAAGAGTTCGAAGCTAATGGATGGATCGAACCCGCAATAGGACCATGGTCTTTTCCCGTAGTAATTGTGCCCAAAAAGGTCGGAGGGATTCGCATTTGCATTGATTACCGAAGGTGAATGATATCAAGATCAAAGATGTGTACCCTCTCCCCCGGATTGATGAGTTGTTGGATGCGATTGGGAGTGCTCGATTTTTCAGTAAGTTTGATGTTCGTCATGGGTTCCATCACCTTCTTGTCCGAGAAGAAGATCGTCTGAAAACGGCGTTTGTGCTTTTCGAAGGTATGTGGCAGTGGATTCGATGTTCGATGGTTATCTGCAACGCCCCCGAGACCTTTCAGCGAGCCATGAATATGGCTTTTCGAAACTTCGTACGGAAGACACGTTTGGCACAGAGCATCATTAACTACTGCGTGATTGTGTACATGGATGACATTCTGGTGTACTCGAGTTCCTACGAGGGACACATGCAGCATATCGAATGGGCGCTGCATGCGTTACGAGATGCGGGTTTCAAGGTGGCGTCTGAGAAGTGTCAGTTTTTCCTTACCACCATCTCCTTTCTGGGATACGTGGTAACAGACCAGGGACTCCAACCGGAGCCGCAGAAGGTGAGAGTTGTCAGGGATGCGCCGGTGCCTACGACTATCACGCAAGTTCTCGCCTTTTTGGGACTGGCCTTGTAGTACCGTAGATTTATCAAGGGCTTCGCGGCGATTGCGGGACCCCTCACAAATCTACTGCGCAAAGATCAGCCGTTGATCTCAACGCCGGAGTGTGATCAAGCGTTTTCGAAACTCAAGGCCGCTCTCATTTCAGCTCCGGTCCTTATAAGTCCGGATCCCGAAAAACCTTTTGTGCTCATTACTGACTGGCAGCCAGAGGCAATTTCGGCGATCCTTGCCCAGGTGGCACCAAGTGGACTCGAGAGCGTAGTGGAGTATGCATCCAAATCGGTGCCCGCCTGCAAGTGCAACTACGCCGCTGCGACAGGAGAATGCTACGCGGCGCTCTGGGGAATCAGTCACTTTCGCGCTTACCTATACGGGCGAAAGTTCACCTTGGTAACCGATCATGAGCCCCTGTTGGCTCTGAAGAAATCGAAGGATTACTCGGGCATGATCGGGCGATGGGCAACGGTGCTGCAGAGCATGGACTTTGACATTCGTCATCGGAAGCACGAGAGACACGGGAATGCGGACGGACTGACACGACTGCACCGGCCCGAGAAGCTTCCGAAGAGTGAGGAGGTGATTCCGTGGAACGAACCCGAAAAGGAGGTTGGGCCTCGGTACGGTCAAGTGGAGATCTTGTCGAAGCAGTAAGTGACACGTGGACCAATTTGTCTGTTCTACCCTCTCCACAGTTTAGACCCGTCTCTCCTCCTCTGTCATCATGACTACCCACCTGTCTCCGCAACCCCCTTTTCTCCTACTTATTCTGCCCCTCTCACTTCCTCAGCTTTCTTCACCACCTTTCCTGACAAATTCTGCTATTTTTGCACGTGTATTGCACGGGTTTATGGGGTCGATTATCATTCTTTTGAAACCGGGTTTGTCGACTGGGTAGAATGTGCCACGTGTGTCAATCGTGCGCACGGGGCCTGCGTTTGATATCGTACGAGTAGCAAGAAATGGAGGTGCCCCCAGTGTAGAACGAACAAACTCCCCACAGAGGTTTTATTCGAGGTCGCCCATATGGACGGCCTTGAATATGATGAAAAATACCGACGAGCGGAGGTTTGGACGGATAAAATTTTATTGGCGAAATTAGCAGGATTATCATTGTGTCACCTCACCAAACACGACAGACGTAGGGCAACCGAGAGATCTCGGAACTATCGATGGATCAACCGTCATTTGGAGAAGCGTAAAACTGACGGATCGGGTTCGTGGTTGACGGTTCCCCATCCATTCCAGAGATATGATTGGATCCGATCTGCTCACGAAGAACAGGCCGCTCATTTCGCGATACGTGTCACAGAGGCAACTATAGACCAGTACCGATGGTTCTGGTCCAATATACGAGATGATGTCAGATACATTGTCGCCAATTGTCTGGTCTATGCCGCTGACCGCGCCCCAATACGGGGACCAAACACGATAGTACCAACGGAAATAAAGCGTCCTTTCCAGCGAGTCAGTACACCTGGCCCAAACCGATGTGAATATTCTATCCTTTTAGTATTAGTTGACCATTTTTTCAAGTACATCGAAGTTTACCCCTGCAAGACCCGCAAAGCCGCAGAAATAGCCACGTACATCGATCGGTTCCTCTATACTCATCTAGATACGAAAGAAATTCTAACCGACAATGGGTCTGAATTCAAGGGTGAGGTAGAAGAACTACTTGCGCGAAGGGCGTCACGCTCCGACGTACGGCACCCCATGTGTCCCAGTCGAACGGGTTGGCCGAGAACGCCAACCGTATGATTAAAACCGGCCTTCGCAGGAATTTAGCGGCACACGACACGTGTTCGTGGCCCGAGATCGTACATCAGACCGTCGGGATCCACAGTGCCACCCCTCATGAGTCCACGGGGTATACCCCTTTTCATCTTCGTACTAATAGCCTCCCCTGTRTCGACTACCGGGGTAACTCGAAAATTGCCGAAGCAGGGGGTAGAGACACGCGTGCAGCCCTCAAGGCCAAGGCCAAAAGGTATACCGAACTAATGGAGCAGGCCGTCTTGAAGCTAGCCCGAAAAAGACAGAGGATGATCGATCTAGCCCACGATAGGCAGGTCTGTAGCTACGAGGCTCGGAATGGAAATGTTGGGCCCCAGCATCAATATAAATTAAGGGACCTAGTGCAGGTAGGTAAATGTGCATGCGATCGGAAACTCGCTCCCAAGTTTTCTGGCTGTTTTCCCGTTGTCGAGCTCAGACCCAACGGCGCTAACACGGTGCACGTCGCGCCTGAGGCTAGTGCCAGCCATAGCTCAGTTCCCATCGTCCGGCATACCTCCTACCTCCGTCCTCTTCCTCCCTCTGGTCTTCCTCCCTCTTCTTCCTTAGAAAGCGAGGAGAACGACGACGGTCTAACTCTCTCTCCGCCCTCTCCCCCCTGCCCTTCCTCTCCGACCTCGCCATGAGTTTCATCACGGAGCGGGTTCTTGACGAACAATTGTTGCAGCTACGTGGCCACATCTCAGAAATTCGGCAAGTTCGTCATCCTCGGCTTAATACGGATCTACGGCGTTTGGCGCAGTTCTTCTGCGACGTGGGTGTGTGTGCCGCCCCCGCGTTTCGAATCGAAGGGAGTCCACACGCAGTGGTATTGGCGAAAGTAATCGCAGTTCATTGGCGAGCGGCTCCCGGAACGAGCCACGTCACAACGGTTGCGGCGTTCAGCGGGGACATCAGTTCGGTCAATCCACGGTGGAATATCTCGATCTTGACCTCGCTGCGAGAGTGGACGGAGCAGGTCTCCAACGTGTGGCAGCACGGTCTTGCCCGGCCAGGGCACAACCTCATCCCGACCTTTGCACCGGATCTTGGCGACATCCGCCGTTCTCCGCGCGAGCCGCCAGTTGCGATTCCCACCCTCGTCCCCTTCCCACGTCCCCAATGAACCACGCCGATCCTCTTGCTCCTCTCTCTATYTTCGGTCTTCCCTCTCTTTTCCCCATTTTCTGGCAGTCTGAYCTTCATCCTTCTCTTTCCTTCTCGTTCAAGCCTCTTTCTGTCCCACTTATCAATCCTGGGCATTGGCGGATGTGRCACGAAACTTTTGACGAGCTGTCCTTCTGCTTGGCCCGAGTACAGGTGACGTGGACGCAGACCAGCGAGCATCCTGCGTGGATCGAAAATTTGGAGCTGCTGATCATACAGGCTTGGAGGATCAACGTGGAGGGCGATCTTCTTGGCTTTCTCTTTGGATCGATACGGCCAGGCCGCCGCTAGCTGATTGCGCAAGAGCTCATCGCGCCGATCGCCCAATTAGCGGACGATCTCTCGCCCGACATCGCCTCGCAGAGTGATGGCAGCCCTGCCCCGCACGTCCTCACTCGGTCGCTGGACCCGTACCTTCAGTGGACTGCGTGCTTGGAGGAGCCCAGGGACGAAGATACGCTGCCATCACGGTAGGAGTAACTGAAGCCTTACGACATCATCCCTCAAGCCTTTTATCCGAAGGCGGAGGAAGTGGTGATTGACGACGATGAGGAAACGTCGGAGGAGGGAAGCTATAGCGAATATAGCGAGGGTGAGCTGAGTAAACTTGAAGAAGAAGAGGAGGAAGAAGGAACCGAGTCTGAGTGGGAAGCCTTGTTGGAGGAAGCAGCGCGCATGGGCACGGAGGCGGAAGATCCGGAAGCAGCGCGAAGAAATTGCCACCGGAAAACGCTAGCTGGAGTTCGCCAGCGGAGCCAGCTTGCGCATCGGTAACGATCCGACCAAGGATCCGGAGCTGCCGAAGCCCCAAGATGGCGACCCAGCAGCCGTCACCTCAAGCGCCGTGCGACGGAGACGGAGCCGATCCCCCTCCTCCTCCAGCCCCACCCGTCCCCCAGTTCGCCCACGTACCGATGCGGGCGATAGGCCTTCGTCCTCGGACGCTATCCCGCCGTCCCCTTGATTTTCTCACCCTCGAACAGATCCACACCCCCGTCACCTTTTCCCTCCATCCCTTCCTTTCCCATCTCTTCCGCGATTTCTACTCTACCGGCCTACTCGCTACTGTCCACCCCCACGCATCCCTTCAGCCCGCTGCCCCCACGTTCTGCTGGCATATTCTGTTGTTCAGCGCTGCGTGGGAGCGATGCAACGTGGTAGAAGTCTACTGCGTAGCCACGGGGACAATCCCCGCCTGTCGCCACTACGAGTTCTTTCGAGCGGCGCTTCTCCGCACCCTCTCCTCCTTCTATCGCGACTACCTCGCTTCCCTCCCTCACAACGGCGATCACTTTCGTCACTTCCAGCAGATCATCCGATATGAGGAGCTTCCGGTGACGGTAGAAGGGATGAATCGCTACCTACCTCCACTTCCTCCCCGTCGTCCCCGTGAGATCCCCTCCATGTACCACCTCTACTGGCCCATTCCAACTAGGAGGTAGATCCCCATCACGTGACTATTCCCCCCCCTCCCCTCCTCTCTTCATCTAATCGACAGGGGAAAATGGCACGAATCAGTAAGCTTCGCGAAGATCACGCCATCGACGATGACGTCAACCTAGGCTCTAATTCGACGGGCAGCGATAAACTGGGGTGCAGAGCACACGGAGAACCAACGGACAATGATGGCGTCACCTGGACGACCATCGATGATTCCAGCAGCACGAGCCAACAAAAGATTGCAATTGAATATGGCATCAACATGGACTCTGGCTGGATCGTTTGTTGATACGCTTGGTTCCTCATCCATCACTCTGTTCTCTCTCTTTCTATGTCCTTCTCCGCCATGACATGCAATCAGAAGATCGCATAATTTTGGAACCCCCTGCGCGTCACATATGTGACGAACTACTTCCCGAACCCATGCTATCTTTCGTACCCTTTTCGCTTGTATCATATCAACCCCATAAAAACCCCGTTTTCGTTTTCTTGATTTCGGGCATTTTGGGGCCCCATCTTTCGGAAGTTTTTTTTTGGTTCCCGAGTTCTGCTTTTTCTTTTTGCGATTCGGGAAATACATAGGAATTTACGTGCGCCTCAGCGAGCGCACTGGGAAGTGGGTCCGGCAGTTGGGAATTCCGGGATAAGCGGAACTTCGACGTGTCCTTTTTGTGTGTGAATGTTCTTGGTCACGTTGGGGAAAACTCTCGGAATTTTGTGGGGATACGAATAGGTGTAGGATTTTCTTTTCCTGCGTCGCTCTTTCGCGCGCGGATATGGTGATTTCAATATTTAATTGGTTTAAGACATAGGCAAGCTGTAACTGTTTCGGTGTCTTTTTCTCTCTTTTTGTTGACGGCGCCGCGCATGCAAAAACTTTCTCCTCTCTGTCCCCCGCATCGCTCTCTCCCGCGCCCCTTTTTCCTTCCCCCTCCCCTTTCTCTCTCCTCGTAACTGTTTTCTCTCTCTCTCTCCTGCTCTGCTCTTTGCGCGCCCATTTTTCCTTTCTTGATCATCTGAATCTTGGACCCGTCTTGCGCTACTTCTTGCGCCTTTTCTCTTCTCACCCTCTGAGTTCAGCACACGACGCCCGGTCGATCCTTCGATAACTCCCGCTCGCCAATTAGGTGCGTGGATCAATAGGATCTTCCTATTGCGCGACGAATCTGATTGGTCGAACCTTGAGTTTCGAGGGATCAACATGGCTTCCACGGAGCACTCTTCTCAAAGTCTTCTCCTCCTGCTTTTTCTCTTACACCTCAGCTTTCCCTTCGCTTTCTCCCCCTTCTGTTTCTCTTGTCGCAACTATAAAATCCGCAAGCGCGTCCGCAAAGCTCTCTTACATTCTCGACTCCTGAGCCAGCTTCCGGGAAGCAGTGGCTAGGCAGAGTGTTTGATGCGAGTCGGAAAGTCCTGTCGGGCTGTCGATAGGCTGGTCGGTTGCGCGCTTGATCGCCACGACGGACTGTGGGATCTGGGCGAACCGCGTCGAGTTAACGTCAGCGGGGTGACGATTGCAGTGGTGGGAGTTAGCACGCGACGGCCGGGATCGTCAGTGCGGGCATGAGGATCGATTGATGATCGGAGTTGAGTGAGTGATTGGCCCGGGGCCATATTGGAATTAACGGCGAATGCGCCTTTGTTGTTGTGAATCTTTATCTCTGGCGTGAGTGTACGGCGGCAAAGCCGAACTTCCTCTTTTTGGATCTTGTCA